GGGGGAGGGGAGGGGGGAGGGGGGAGGCTGGGGACCACATCTGTTGCATCCGCAGCCCCTGCGCCCGGTGAGCGCACAGCGGGCTGCGGGTCTCTGCTCCGCCCAGCAGTGACTGAAAAGTCACCAGAACCAACGCTCCTCCCTTTCGTTTCTGTCCCTGTGAGCACAGGACCTGGTGCACTTAGTCACCAGAAATATGAATGGAATTAAACTGGACAGGTCAGGAAGCCAGGCATCGCTGAGGCCAGAGGCTCCTGCAGGGTGGGCGCCAGCAGTCCTCACCTGCAGCTTCAAGGACAAGGGTTTCTGGTTCAAGAGCCGCTGATACTGAATCAGCCAGTAATTCTCCTGCTTAGTTTCGCTTTTGGCTTCTAACTCCATCTGCCAAGAAGGAAGCAGACACTGTTAGTTACAAGTCAGTGAATAGAAACAGTAATGACAGTGACACCTGTGAACTCTGCTCCTCTGAGCACGTGGATGACTTGGTATTTTACAAAGAACGTGCCTACCCACTGTTACCTCACCCTTTAAACTGCTGAGCCTGGAAAGGCAGGAAGCATCACTACCCCCACTTTACTGCCCAGAAGGATCTCAGACACAGCACACCTGGTGGGGGGACCAGAACCTGGGCTGCTGACACCTGGTGCCCGCCCCCCTTCCCCCGCCCCCCTTCCCATCATGACTTGGAGGGGGACACCTTCTCATCTGCTTATGGGAAGAGCAAAGTACTAGGCAGCCATCTCCTTCCCCCAAGAGGGCTTAGTGTGTCCTCTGGGTGCCAGGCAGGGAGAGAAATAAGATTCTAAGGACACCTTCAGCTTCCGGAGTGGGCTTCACCTGACAAAGCCAGAGAATTATAAACATGCTATTCAAGCCGATTCCTCCATTCCACCACTCAAACATCGCTGAGTGTCGTTCTGGGTGCTGAGGCCACAGCAGTGAACACACGGTGCTGGCAGCAGCGGCGGCGGCGGCGGCAGCGTCAGGGCGCTCCGTGCCAGACCGCGCTGTGAGCTGGGAGGCGCCCTGTGCTTGACTCCCACGATTCTCTGAAGTGGTTTCTGGTTCACGGTGGTGGTGGGGGGGGGGTGGCGACGCTGAGGGATTAGCTCAGAGGGAACACCAGCCAGCCCGAGGCCAAAGCGCTGCCCGTGTCGTGGCCACGATTCAGAGCCAGGTCTGTCTTTCTCGGAGCCTGTGCTCCCAACCTCCAAGCCACCCACCCAGGGCTGCAGCCGCGCTGGGGGGTCGATGTGATGTGGGCGGCAGGATTACACCGCAGGCATCTCCCCAGCCCTCCCTAGTGGTCCCTCCTGTACCTTGCCGAGCTGGCTCCCCTTTTCCGGCCTGGCCCTCTCTGGGCTGTGGGCACACCTCTCTTTGGGAGCCCATGACCCTGATGGTCATGTCCTGATGAGGTGCACAGTGAGTCCCCAAGGCCCCCTGAGGGCGGGAGTACACGGCCACGGCATGGCTGCCCCTTACACAGCACTCAGGAGCGGGTCACACATTAAATACAATTTGAAGGTGATGGCAGTGAGGCACCGTGAGGAACAGGCAGCTTCTGACTGGCACAAACACACCATCTGGGCTCGTGCAGGGCTCAGGAAGAAACTGGTCTCGCTCCTTTCCATTCCCGGCACAGGGCCCGGCCCACGGTGGAGCTCAGAGGACGTCTGGGGCAGTAACAACGCCACAGGAAAGACTGGGTCCTGACTGCTCTGGTGCACTTGGGCTCTGGAGGAAGTGACCCTGACCTGCCACCCTAAATGGGGCTCTGCCACCCTGATGATGTGCCAGAGTCAAACCCACCTGGGTCCAGGGGGCAGTGGGCAACTCCTGTCGAAGGCTTACTAAATGGTCTGCCCTGGACACACCAAGCACTCTCCTGGGCATCTGTCCTGAGCAAATAAGTACCTATGGCTGTTCTCAAATACTTAGCTGCCGAGACAGCCTCGCTTATTAAAAGTAAACAACGGGAAGCATGCTTGACAATAGGCCAAACAAGGGCCCATCTCAATGCAGCCACGGAAGGAACGCAGAGGACACGATAGACAGGAAAGAGCAGGTGCAAACGAGCTGGCTGGAAACGGGGGCGCAGTCCCGTGTTACAGGCACGCACACGCGTCACGATAAACATGCATCCCGATGTTTGGAAAACATCCCTCAAAATATTAGCAATAGACAGCTCTCAGAAGCGAGATTCTTTTCCTTCGTACTTTCCACTTTTTCTTTGATGAACAACTATTACTAGACTAATGAAAGTGTTTCTAAGAAGCGGCGAGAGCGTTTAGGGAAAGCAAACCCAGAGGCGACTCTGGACGCGGAAGCCAGACGCACCAGGATCTCCCGGAGCTCCTCCTCTCGCTGTGTCTTCTCTTTGAGCAGCTGCTGGAGCAGGGAGCTCAGGACCCAGCGCTGCTCCGAGATCATCTCCTGCAACACAAGACCACGCCCAGTGCTGGGAAACTCGCAGTACCCCGGCCCAAGAAGTGTCCGCAGCGCGGCGGCAGGATCCCCCTCACTCAGTTCTCAGCTGGCAGCCGGGGGCCACAGTGGGCCCGACTCCATTCAAGGCTCTGCCCCTGATCTCAGGCTGAGAGTTGGGGAACAGAGCAGAGGGGCCTCTCTGCCCAAGCATCCCCTCCCCACCTTCTCACCAGCCTGTACCTCCCTTCCCCAGGGGGTAAGGCCAGGCACGGGACCCAGTGACCGAACACAGTGCAGTGGTAAGAAACATCCAACAAAGGAAATGACGAGCAGCAGGTACCTGACTTCAGTCTCACTGACGACGGAGCACGCGGGCAGAAGCAAACAGCGGGAGGGAGGGTGGGTGAGTGACCCACGCCAGCCAGGAAGGCTCTACGCAGACGGAGTGACGTGCAGACCCGAGAAAAGCCCCATTTGTGTCTGCGCCCCACTCTCCTCCTCCTCTTGGCAGCCCCACGGAGACCCCGAAAACAGGAGCCCCGCAGCTCTGATGCGCAGGACGCACGGGCACCCACCAAGCACGGTGGTTGCATCTTCCAGAGCTACGCCGACCTCCGCGAGGCTGAGGCCTTCCCCTTTGCTAGCCCACTCCTCTCTGATGGCCCCGAGACACAGGCTGGGCCTGGAAGACTATTTCCCTCTTATGCAGGGGAGACATGGAGGCCCAGGGAGGGGAAGTAAGCCGCCTAGGTCACACGGCGACAGACCCGTGGGGCTCCAGACCTCAGCGTTCTTCTCCTGCATTGAGAAGCCCACGAGACCAATGAAGACGGCTCCACCGAGGACAGACACAGGGACGGTGACAGACAGAAGGCTCTGCTCAAAAGCCTGGTACGGGGCACATGTCCTCACACATCATTGATCCAACCCTTCTGCGTACAGCTGGGGAGACTAAGGTACAGAGAAGGGAAAGGGCTGCCCCTCCCCGCCTCCCCAGCCAGGGCACACAGCAAGACTGTGCGAGGACAACCCAGGTCCCAGATTTGCAGTCCAGAACGCTGTCTGCTAGTCCCTGCAGCCTCCACATCTGTGTGAGCAGGACACCCAGGCTGGAGTTCACAGAGCCACAGCTGGGCCCTCTCCTCAGACATCCTTGGAACACCAAGAAAGCTCCTTCCCCAGGGTATGTCAGCCGTGAGAACCAGCGCCCCAGAAGCATGGCTTAGAGAGACAGGGAGCTCAGTAGCAACCCAGCTCCAAAACAAAGAAAACACGGAGATGGAGATGCAGCCTGGGTGAGCCTTGGCAATGAAACCCTCTTTCCTCTGACCCTCCTGCCTAGCAACGGGCTGATCCCAGCCCTAACCTTGGCCTGCGCTGGGCTCGGTCCCCAGACTGGGCTCCCACGAGCCTTCTGGGGCCAGGGCATCCTCCAGCATCACTGCCTTGTCTGCTGGAGAGCAGCTGAGAGGCGGTGGGGGCATTAGCTGGGGGTGGGGTGGGGGCGGGGCAGGCTAGGG